TTTACTCAAGCTGCTCTTGAACTCCTGGCCTAAAGCAGTCCCCCCAACTTGGCCTTCCAAAGCACTGGGATTACAGATGTTAGGCGCTGCACCCAGCCTGTGTTTTTAAAAAAATTAACTACAGCCTTAGGATTTTGCTTTTCTATTGGCTTTTTAGATCAATCAGAATACTCAGTACGCAGCCATAGTTTTAAGGCTGTTTCATGTGGTAAATCCATCATACTGTTAGCTTTTATTCAAATCACCCAAAAGTTATCAGACCTTGGGTATAGGAAGTGGACAATTGCCTAATAGTTTGTTATTTACCCCCCTCACAGGTTTTCTTTAGGACTTTCTCATAACTATTTATTGTATCCATAAGGATTGCAAGGTCTCTTGGATCAGGTAAGACCTTTAGATGGCCTCTTCCTTAAAGTAGTCTTTCTTGAATACCCTTCCGTGAGGTTGGATAGGTACTGCTCCCCTTCTCTCTGCCTTCTAGCACCCACATCTAATGTTCTCCTGGCACTTACTACACTCTGATTCAACTATTCTAGCCATGCCGCTGAAGCCTCACCCCCACACTTGAAAAACATCCTCCAGGCAGAGACCCTGTCCTGCCTTTTCTCTCCATCGCAGCTTCAGAGCAGTCAATAGATACTTACTGTTTGAGAGAAAAATTACTTCAAGCAAGCAAGCGTGTGTCTCTCTTACATCCCTCATTCTGCCTTATATCCTGTAGATGTCATTTCACTAAAGAGCCCTGTGTGACTTATCTTTTCAGGGCTCAGCATACCTCCTTAAACTTTAAATGTGTTTTAAGAAGCTCTACAAAAATCATTTTCTGTCATGCTTGCTGCAAATCCTTATTTGCTAAGCTGCGATGAAAATCGCAGAAAATTAGCGTAGCAACAAACCTGTACTCATGTAGATGTTTGATTAATACCAACAGATATCAAAATACAACCAATGCCAGCAAATAGAAGAAAAATACTTACATAATGAAAACACGACAAAGAACACTGTTCAGAATTGTTCCTTAAACATAGCCAATTTTTAGTGGGTTTCTACCTTTCAAAAACTTACGCAAATGGAAAATCACATAATCTTAAGGGACATAGAAATACTAGGAAAAAATGTAGTAAGAAGGTGAAAAAATCAGGGAAATGTGAAGGAAAATTACTATGTATGTTAACATTTAGTATTAACATTTCTATGAAACAGAAAAAATTCTTAAGTTCAACAGTGAGTACATTTACTTCAAAACGCTGCATCATGTTTTAGTTGAAAGAAGCAAAGTACACATAGTTGAAAGTACAACGTAGCAGAAATTAAACACTTGATCCAGAACCCATCAGGGACCCAGATTATTCTACTACAGCTCAGATTTTAAAAAATATTGTATCTACCTTGCGCTTTTTTAAACGGTATAGGAAGTAATAGGAAGATTACTCAAAGAACATAAAGTGCTTAGCATTGCCCTTAAGAAAGATGCCCCATAGGTGGGAAGTGAATATTTAATATAGTCTCAACTACATCAATCATTCCTGAGATGGCAATTAATACTACTGATAAACAGTGCAGAAGCCAGCTCTTTATTTGTTTTATATGAATTACTTTAAACCAGGTTTGTTAGACAGTTCAGTGTAGCTGACAGTGAATGTTGCTGTAACAGGAATGCATAGCAGACCATGTTAAAAATGTGGCATTGTCCCAAAATACAACGTGACTAAGACATCCTACATTTAGCAGCACCTTTTTGTAACAGTAACTTAAATGAGCAGTGGAGAAAGAGCATAGGAAAGACTGAAATGGGTAGGACCAAAAAAAAGAACTATTAAATACATTTCCAGCATTTTCTAGGTTGACTACAAAAATCATGGTTCTACAACTGAGTAGGTTAAGATTAAGCCTTTGTTGTGTGAAGAGTTTATAATTTTACATTCCACAGGTCAGTAAATATCCCATTGCCCTTGGGATCATTTTTTCATTTACAAACGTACTACACAGTTTACACATATGCCCACTAAACAGTTTTCACATATAGATGCTGTTATGTCAAATCCTTCAAGCTAGTTTTTTGAGAAATATTCTGATTTGCACTAATAGGTTCCACAGTAAAGTGCAAGCTAAGAATCCAGGTACAAAATAAAAAAGATGGAAACTCTCACCACTACTCTTTGAAAGGGATTAATGATAGCAGCAAGTATGATAAATACCAGCTATGTTTCAAGAATTTATTCTGAAATCAATTGGGATGAAATAGTAAAGGATTGAACTAGTAATTGTGAATATCTTACCATGACAAAAGTTTTATCAGAAATATAAAAGCAATTTTAATTAGAATATGGTCTCCTACCAGTGTAAGAATTGTCAAGTTTATTAAGACTGTTTTTATATTCAATAAATAAATTCATGTAAACAGTATAGAGCTAATTAACAAATTGAGGGAAATTTTTTATATATAAGCTGATAAAACATATATGTAACTAATTTTTATTTTCTTTTTCAGACACCAGGTTGTCACCAGCCTGGAGTGCAGTGGTATAATCACGGCTCACTGCAGCCTCTACCTCCTGGGCTCAAGTGATCCTCCTGCCTCAGCCTCCCAAGTAGCTGAGTCTACAGGTACACTCTACCACCCCCCTTAATCATTTTTAATACTGAGTTTTCTTGGGGGTAAGGGAAATAAGGAGTTAAATGTAAAATGGTTTTACTTATAAAAATGTAGGCATATTTGGCAAGAACTTGGAGTAATCAAGGGAGCAAAACAAAGATTATTTTATAACTATTATTTTGTTAAATAGTTGGTTTTTGTTTTGAGATGGAGTCTCATTCTGTCACCCAGGCTGGAGTACAGTGGCATGATCTTGGCTTACTACAGCCTCTGCCTCCTGGGTTCAGGTGATTCTCCTGCCTTAGCCTCCCGTGTAGCTGGGATTATAGGTGTGCAGCCTACTACACCCTGCTAATTTGTTGTATTTTTAGTAGACATGGGGTTTCATCACGTTGGCCAGGCTGGTCTTGAATGCTTGACCTCAGGTGATCCACCTGTCTTGGCCTCCCAAAGTGTTGGGATTACAGGTATGGTCCACCACACCTGGCTGATTATTTTGTTACATAAGGTAATGTGCAGATGTGAAATTAGATAATTTTAGACAGGCATTTTCCAGGGACAAACTTCAAGTGCCAGGTACTTGCACTCTTAATACTGTCTTATCCAGTTATAATTGGACAAAATACACACTTGAGACACAGAAACGGTCTTAGCCTTAAACATGATGACATTGTAAGCATCTTACAGCACTGTAGTTGAGGCATGGAGATAAGGTCTTCAGGGTTCCTCTTCAGAGTAGATGTCTTATGTAGGATAATACTAACATTTTATTCACTTTAAGTCACCCCATTTTGCCCTGATTACTTCTGAAGAACAGAAACTTTGGTTATAAGAAGCACTTCTGGGCTCTGACAGACAGTGAACCTGCTGGAGTTGGTGGTGGGGAGGAGTGATGATAGGTGACTGGGAGGTAAACAACAGGAATAGTAGGCAAGGTTAGAAAATGAAGTGGGAGAAGTTATAAAAATTTATTTTCCCACGAAATAATTCCACAAGCTGTGTAAACGTTTCTTACTCAAACAAATACTCTAACACACAAAGATTATACATTTCCAGTGAAACACTCACAGTAAAATTGCCTGTATTTTTACTCTCTAGGAGCAAAAACAAGGAGGCAGCAGATGAATGCTTTCCTAGTTACCTTTGGCAGCAAGCTTACTCACATTCCCTGACTGCTCAATGGGTTATTAAAGCCACATATAGCACAAGTAAATACAGAGCCAGGTGGGCAGAATGCTCGATATCAGTCTCTAGTTTCTTCACTAGTCTTCAGCATTCCAATTTATCTCAGCCATTCAGTCACTCGTGCACACTCTTACATATGGACACACACACGTGCATATAGCGAGTTCCGGCTCATAGACTCCAGTGCAGTGACTAGGACAGACACTAGCTACTAAGAATGTGTCACAATCAGTGTGAACTGCAGGGAGGACAACCACCTCTGGAGTTTTATATTTACCATAATTTATGGTGAAAATTACAAACTTAGAAGGATGGTACGACATTCAGAATTCAAACCTTTTCAATTCAAGCAATCACACATATTTACAGTATGTACAGACTCTACTAGAATGAGGATAGGTGTCTAGACAATGTTATTACAAATTTCCTGAATGTGGGCATTTCTAGGCCCTGTAATTCATAAAGCAAATCTGCTGACTTGGCATTAAGACTCTAAAATAGTGTGATCAAACTGATATATATATATATATTATATATAAGAAGGTGTTTGCAGAAATAACATTTACAAACTGTCTATACAGTACACAGTACTAGTACATAGAAAATAGATTCTAACTTTATGATCCCCTTTGTGTAAGGCAAGACTGAATCTGTTCCCAAATTTAGTCAGCCAGAGGTACAAGCAAGAAACAGTGGTCCATGAATGAATATGCAAATCAGGTGCCTGCATATTAAAAATCTGGATAAACGAGAAATTCCACTTTTTATCTATGCTGATTCTGGCTTGTTGGATACATCAGCTAGATTTCTTAGAACACTAACATCACCTGGGTGGCAACAGATTTTGTTCAAGTGGCAGCTACCCAAAACAGTTTTTGAAGAGTCCAGTATACAACTGGAGAACTGCAGCCATACCAGGCCAATTTATGTAGCACTTAAAAAGAAAAAATGTGTCTTAATACTCTATACATGCTATTGCTATTCAAGCAACAGCAATACAAAATATTAAAGACAGATCACGTATGATTGCAATGTAGACCCCAAAGACTTAAAAAAAAAAAAAAAAACACACACACACACACACACACAAGAGGGCAAAAGTCACTGGCGGATGTAAACATCCCTGTTCCACTCCCCAGCCTCGTTCCGTTTTCTGGATATCACTTCTCCATCCTTTTCACAGTAGCGATCCTTGGATTTGTGACGGCTGCGCTGTTTGTTGCACTCGTTGTGGTCCTGCTCTCGATCCACGTCCCGGCAACGGTGCCGAGACTCCCTGTGTCTGTGGTCACTGCTCCCATGGGTCTCATCTCTGTGGTTGTGGTCACGGTGGGAGGCATAGTGGTCCATGTGGTCATGGGAATAATCTTCCTTTGGCTCCACATAGGCTGAGTCTCGACTCTCCTGGGTTTCTGAGTCAAATGTCTCTTGCCTGGAGAGGCCACGACTTGTCCCACTGCGATGGTTGTGGTGTGGGGCTGAGGAGGAAGAACGGTGCTGGGATTTCTTGACTGGTTCCATGCCAGGTTCTTCTTCAGCTTGGGAAGCAGAACGGATAGGAGCGGAGCGATCAGTCCTTTGATCACCTTGAGAACCCTGGCAGCCAAAGGAGCACACGGAGTGTTAACCAAGGTCAGTGTGTACAGAACATGTTGCAGAGTCCTTTTTAAGCATCTGAAAAGCTGCAATGAAGTCTAACCTAGCTTAATCCCTTTGGTAACATCCAGTAGCATTTATAAGGCTTATAATATATTAAATTGGACTTTGTAAGTGCCTAGAACAGTGCTCATGATAACCTTTTTCTTTTAAAAATAAGCAGGGAAAGTGTTCTTCTTTTACATGTTCTCCTGTGGTTCAAATACACAGGGGTATAAACTTAACTACCTCTGCTTGACTATATGTCAGGAATATTAAAAATGGAAAATGCTTACAAGATACAATATGGGACAGGCACTGTTCTTGATCCTTCACATATAATAACTTATTAACACAACAGCCCTTTGAGATTAGTAATTCCAGCAGCATCATGGACAGGTTGCCATTATTATTCCTGAGGCAATAAAACAGTTTCAAACAGTTTCTTCAACAGTTTCTTAAGCAAGTTAAGAAACTTGCCTAAGGTTATCCACCCCAGAACTGGTAAGAGGTGGAGCCAGGATTTGAATCTAGGTAATCCACTTCCACAGTTTATGCTGCTGTTTAGAATGTTTCTATAGTCTGTGTATGTTCCCAGTATATTCTGTCAATGGTGCGCTTCTTACAGGTACACAGCAACAAGCCCCAAGCAGGCTACTGGGCTTGGATCCTAGAGGTGTCACCATAGACAACCTTGTTTTCTATGAAGACTGTATGTATGGAATACATGAAAACTCCCCTTACCTGTGAATTAGAGGCTAGGGTGGGGCTAAGAGGCAGACTTGAAGTGGCTAATGTACGGCTAAGGAGAGGGTTGGGGAGGCTGCTGCTGGGAGGATGGGTGGCCTTCCAGTAGGCCTCCAGATAGTCGGCAAGGTGCTCACAGGCATCCTCAAGCTGGTTCTCATCCAAGATGACATCGAACAACTCCTGCAGAGGCAGACATTCCAGACTACATTGACGCCAGCCCAGTTTTTACCCCATTCCCACCTCTATAAGAAGAGGGAGGGGCTCATGAGCTGCACCCCTTTGCACTGGCTCCTACTGTCTCCTTTTTATTTAGTCAGCAAGTGGCTGACTACCTCAAATCATTGTTTAGGGCACTGAATGAATGCTTAATAATGGCCAGAATGGTAACAGTTGTAAAGGACATTTGTCTATCCTCAGTGAAAAAAGACGTGAGCAGAATAGGAAGAAGCCTACTCTTGACATCAAGATCATGAAATCTTTATTTGAGATGGTGTCTCCCTTTGTTGCCCAGGCTGGAGTGCAGTGGCCTGATCTTGGCTCACTGCAACCTCAGCCTCCAGGTTCAAGCAATTTTTGTGTGTCACCCTCTAGATAGCTAGGGTTACAAGTGCCTCCCACCATGCCCAGCTAATTTTTGTATTTTTAGTAGAGATGGGGGTTTTGCCATGTTGGCTAAGCTGGTGTTGAACTCCTGGCCTCAAGTGATTCGCCCGCCTCAGCCTCCCAGTGCTGGGATTACAGGTATAAGCCACTATGCCCAGCCCAAGATTATGAAATATGAATTTAGAAATTAATAAGATTAGGATGTGAAATTGAGCAGAAGTAGCTGAAACCATTGATAATCTGACATTGTCCAAATTCAAATTAGTTCACTAGAAAAAAAAATGTGTCGCTTTTCAAAAGATTTTTTAGAATTCATCACAAATTTTAACATATTAAGCAATCAAATATTTATAGCCTCTGAAATAGCTGCGCTTACCAAGTGGGGCTGGGGGAAAGCCCAGCGCAATGGCTAATGCCTGTAATCCCAGCCCTCTGGGAGGCTGAGATGGGCAGATCGCTTGAGGTCAGGAGTTTGAGACCAGCCTGGGCAACATGGCGAAACCCTGTCTCTGCTAAAAATACAAAAGTTAATGGGGCGTGGTGGCATGCACCTGAAGTCCCAGCTTCTTGGAGGGCCAAGGTGGGAGGATTCCTTGAGCCCGGTAGGCAGAGGTTGCAGCAGTGAGCTGAGAGGCCGCCACTACACTCCAGCCTAAGCAACAGAACAAGACCCAACCTCCAAAAGTAAACCTAGGAAAGCTCTGTAGCCCCAAGGCATTGTATGTAAAGCATAGACTGTAAGAAAGAATCTAGGTAACTCATTGCTTAGAAATTGATGTCTCAGTTATTAAGAGCAGATACCTTGCTCCCTATGATCGGAACTGAGTAATATACCAACTTCATATAGACTTATCATACAAGCCAAATTTTTGGAACCATGATCTTATGTTAGGTATTAACAAAAGTGAAGTTACTACAGGATGTACTGTAGCTTTTTGTAAGCTAAGATCATCATTTGGATTGTTTGTGCTCAAAACACATGGTCATGGAATGAGGGAGGAGGGTTAACTTTGGAATGAATACCACTTTAAGTGATGAGGATTCTCTTCTCTGACAGGTGTTTGACACTGTTTTTTAAAAATAATACAATGCCAGTCTGGCCAGGCATGGTGGCTCATGCCTGTAATCCTTGGAAGGCCAAGACAGGAGGATGGCTTCAGCCCAGCAGTTCTAGACCAGCCTGGGCAACATAGCAAGACCCCATCTCTACAGGAAAAAAAAAAAAGTTATCCGACCATGGGGGCGTGCACCTATAGTTTCAGCTACTTGGAAGACTGATGCAAAACAGTCACTTGAGCCCAGGAGCTCAGGGCTGCAGTGAGCTGTGATCACAGCACTCTACTCCCAACATGGGCAACAGAGCAAGACCCTGCCTTAAAAAAAAAAAAAAGCCAGGTCTGATCTCAGTAACTGGATTATGCTGTATGTAGAGATAACTTACTGGAGGACACTGAGCCAGTTTATCAGCTGCTACCATCTGGACGTTGAGGTGTTTAGCTTGAGATTTCCCTCGAGATTTTATTAACCTTTGTAAAACCTGTAAAAGATAATGAGTTTTTAACAGAGTAATAAGTACACGCAGGTAAACTACAAGGTACATTATTGACTTCTTTCTCTGGGGCCTTTGTATATATACCCAAGGGGCTTGTAATAGATTGAGCTATGAGAGTATCTGCAAAATTAACATAAATCACAGTTGCAAGCTTGAAGCACTCACATTCTTTTTTCTAAGGTTGCAGATCGCAAATGTTTTGTCTTACAACCTCTTTAAATTAGCTAAAATGGAAAACTATTAAATTTTTTTTATAAAAATAGCTACATTTTTGACAAATCTAATGGCTGGCTTCATAGAAGACAATTGAAATCTCCCAAGCTTCTACAGTCAACCTGCTGCAATGTTTTGCTTTGGTTGAAATATGTGAAGAAAACCCAACCTCCTACAGATTTTTAATTGAGAAAAGGAGAAACAATTTAGTAGCCTTTTCAGATAGTCATCTTTGATACTATACCAAAACTCAACAAATGATAGTTCCTTAAAGACCAGTTGCTCAGTGAAATTTTCTTACTCCATGACATTCACCTGGTCTGTCTTGAAATTAACATTATTCATTGATCATACAGACAGTAATGGTTCACTGACTTCAGATCTTCCAAATGTTGACATATTTCATTATACAGTACTGAAACACTGTACTATCCTTGGTCTCATCAAAGAAATAATTATTGGGAAGCTTCCAAGTTCTCAGAGGTACATACAGGTTTTCTAAAATTCTGATTGTTGTCAGAAAGCTTGAGTTTTATCATTGGCAACATGTGCTGTTCTTCTTGAAGTGACAGGTTTGCTTTGTCCGAGAAAAATCTGCTATACCCAAGTCTGAATAAGCATTGCCTGTCAGTTGTTGTTTGAGATCAAAATTCTATGAAAAACATGGCTAGTTTAGTTCACCAGCGCTTTTCCTTCTGACATTTGTTGGTATGCAACAAGAGCTTTGTGTGTACTTTATTACACTGAATATTAAAAGTCAAGATTCAATAAAAGTAATACACTTTACTACTTCATAAGGACATTCTTAAGTGAAAATGGCTTTTTCCTCATGGAACTGTGAAAGCATGGTGGTAATGAATACAGTAACTGCTGGTACTTTGATACCACAGCCTTGATTCATGCTCAAACGCCAGCAGTTTTACCCACCATTGCTTTTGCATGAGCCAAGCATATGTCAAAACAGTGAACATGGCAAATAATGTATTAGTAGTATCATGTCCATTTGACTAAATGGATAGTCTAAAAGTGTCTCAAGACCCTCCAGGGATCCATGGGCCACACTTTGAGAATGGCTGTTCTAAGCCATGAAACTAACCATGCCTTGTTTATATCAATTTAGAAATTCTTGACTACCATGTCTCTTCAGATTCTATATACATGATAAAGGCTATCACAATAGCCTTATTATAGACAACAGAACATAAAATACATTTTAGTGAAGTTTGATTATAGAGCAAACAGTAGCAATCCTACTTACCTTAGGAGAAGAAATCTTTACATAAACGATAATAGGGGCCAAGGAAGTTTTACTAAGTTGAGCTGGATGATTAATCGTATCTGCATCAAGGACCACTAATTGCAATGTTCTTGCAAGTTCAAAAATCCTTTCAATTTCACTCTGAACTTCCGCTGTAAAAGGTGAAACAGTTTAAAGTGCAGTATTTTTAAGATAAAGTAAAATGGTATCTTATTTCTTCCACAGAAAGGTGACTAGGTCAGCCATGTTAATGCTTATAGGCAATAGAATTGATAAAAAATTACAACAATAATTTATCCTTTTGGAAAGGGCTCTTTTTCCACACATTAGGATTTAAGGAATTTTTCTCTCAGACAGCTACAGAATTTACTTTTAGTATAATACTTGGATTATGGAAATTTTTGGTGCTCTCTGCTGACATTCTTTGTGCTTCCACTCTATAAAATTTCATAAAACTATTGTAAGAACCGTGAAATATCTGAAATATCTTCGTGTGTTCATTGCAGACCACTTTGCCCTAGCAACCGTTACAAGTTTTCCTTTCAGTGCATGGGCTGAACTATGTTTACATGTCACCTGTATGCTGTCTAGATATGTTTATTAACAAGCTGAAATACAACATAAGAAAGACATGATTGGCACCAGTAAAAAACTTATCCAGGAACTCACCGCATATTTTCCAACCAAAGGAATTCCCTTTAATAGTCATGTTGTAAAAGGGCAGTTTTCAGAGGCAGCACTACAGAAATCTATAGTATAAAATTTATAGAAACTTATCACCACACATTTAAAATTCTACTTGAACTCCAAGAAAATTACATTCAGTTCATCTACTGCTCCATGATCTCCGAAGAGTCAAAAACAGGCCTGACACAATTTTCTGCAGTGAGGGAAATATTCTCTATATGTAGTCCAGTGTGGCAGCAGCTAATCACTTGTGGCTACTAAGCTAGTGTGAACAGCCACTGCATTTTTAAAATTTAATAATTTAAATAGCCAGAAGCTACTATTACTAGGCAGCATATACAGCATAATACATAGATTGTGTTTCCCACTGCAGTCATGGAGATTGAATCCCATGAGACTTTTATGCCAGCAAATGTGGACTTAAAATTACCTTTTAATACCTCTTAGGTAGTTAGATCCGTGCCAGAAGCTTCCTAGAGATAATTTAAACCAGTACATTATTCAAGAAAAGGCGAGTCCCTGATCACTATTGTGATCTGCCTCACAATATGTTATGACTTGAGTCCTTTTGTTTACCTGGATATCTGTAAAAAATCAGGGCCCAAACTACATGACATACTAGCTTTAAAATCATGTTGCGCCACTGAGCCCACTCAAGTTCCAACCTAAATTAATATTTATTGCAAGCATTAAGAAATCAGATCACAAAGATTTTCATCCTTGTTTCACCTGTTAATATGTGTTTACACAGTCACAGCATCTCACACCTCCAGGGTAACTCCTTGCATTTAAAGGTTTGAGCACTATATTTTCATTGATTATAAGTTTAATACATGTTTTTTTTTTTTTTCTTGAAACACAGTCTCTCTCTGTTTCCCAGGCTGGCATGCGTCTGTGCAGTCTCGGCTCGCTGCAACCTCCTCTGCCTCCCTGGTTCAGCTGATTCTCTCACCTCAGCCTCCCATGTAGCTGGGATTATAGGCATGCACCACCAGGCCCAGCTAATTTTTTGTATTTTTAGTAGTAAAAGGGTTCCACTATGCTGGCCAGGCTGGTCTCAAACTCCTGACCTCAAGTGATCTGTCCACCTCAGCCTTCCAAAGTGCTGGGATTATAGGCATGAGCCACTGCACCTGGCCGTAATATATGCTCACTGTATGAAATCTGGATAACATTTAAAAAATTACATATACGGATATTATTTCTATTAGGTCAATATATTAACACGGGTTTTAATATATATATACATATATAAAGATCTTTCTGGTAGTCTTACATACATATCATGCTCAGAATTTAATAAAGAAATGTCAAAAAATTCCCTGATGTTCATTTCTGAAACCGAAAGTCAATTTAATTCTCTTTAGTTGTCCTAGCTAATGAAAGGATGCAGCTCAGCATCTTGAAGATGGGGCAAGCCTTCTTCATCTCCCTACATCCCACTGAATTAAACTGAAAAATGAATAACGCCTTTCTATGCTTTATACCTCTAATATCTATAAATTTCAGGAGCAATCATTGTTTCCTCTAAGATAAAGAACAGAAGCCACAACATTAATCATTAGAGAAATGCAAATCAAACCATAATGAGATACCATCTCCCACCAGTTAGAATGGCTATTATTAAAAAATCAAAAAATAACATGCTGGTGAGGTTGTGGAGAAAAAGGAATGCTTATACACTATTGATGGGAATGTAAATTAGTTCAACCATTGTAGAAGACAGTGTAGCAATCCCTGAAAGGCATAAAGACAGGAATACCATTTGACCCAGCAATCCCACTACTGCATATATACCCAAATGACTATAAATCATTCTATTATAAAGATACATGCATGTTTGTATTTTCATTACTATTCGCAATAGCAAAGGGGTAGAATCAAGATACAGAAAATGTGGTACATACACACCATGGAATACTATGCAGTCATAAAAAAGAACAAGATCAAATCCTTTGCAGGGACATGGAAAGAGCTGGAGGCCATTATCCATAGCAAATGAACACAGGAAGAACAGAAAACCAAATACCACGTGTTCTCACTTGTAGCGGGAGCCAATTGATGAGAACACATGGACACATAGAAGGGAACAACACACACTGGGGCCTATCAGAGGGTGGGAGGAGGAAGAGAATCAGGAAAAATAACTGATGGGTACTAGCTTTAGTTCCTGGGTGATAATGAACTTAAGTTAGAAACAACAAAAAACAGAAGTTAACTTGTTGAGAAGGAGGTTTCTGTAATCAAACAATACCGTAATAACAGAGAGGAGATGGTTACTTTCATTGCGGCTAGTGTTGAGGGACACCTAAGTTGTCAGGAGTTAACTAAGACCTGGAGGTAGCTCTAGTATGAGTTATTTAATGCCATACATGTAATTTCAATGCCATTTTCATAATTACTACACACAAAACTCTTAATTTTGACCAGTGCCTGCCTTATCTTACAAAAAGAATCTGTAAAGCTTTCTCTAACCACCTTTTCCCCAGGCTCAGTAAATTCTGCTTCTGTGTTCCCAGTGCCATACATCAAAGTGGCTTACGGGCAGAAATGAAGTGTCATCGCATCATTGAGCTGTATGGTCACTGGGTAACATACTGAACCTCTTAGAACCTAAGTATTCTTATCTGTATTATGAAAATGAGGACTAAATGAATCAACACGCAACGCTTCCATTACAGTAATTACCGTACTTGGCCGACACTAAGTAGAGACAGTCCATGACTTATAATGGTTTCACTTAACAATTTTTGAACTTTATAGGCTATGAAAGCAATATACAAACAGTAAGAACTGAACTTTGAGCACCATACAACCATTGTTTTTCACTGTTAGTATTCAATATATAGGGTACTCTACACTTTATTATAAAATGGGCTTGGTGTTAGATAACTTTGCCCAACTGCAGGCTACTGTAAGTGTTCTGAGCATCTTCAAGGTAGGCTAGGCTAAGTTATGATGTTTTATAGGCTGGGTGTATTAAATGCATTTCAGCTTATGATATTTTCAACTTAACAGTGGCTTTACTGAGACATAACCCCATCATAAGTTGAGAAGCATCTGTACTTAATAAATGTCAAGTATGGCTTTGTACCTATCTCTGTTAATACTTCTCTCTCTCTCTTTCCGTGATGTAATTAAAAATTTTTCCAATAGGCAGTGAAATGACTGAAAGCTTGACATAATATGAAATTATTTCTGGTTCTCCTCAGCACAGTGCTTGATATATAGTTGGCACTCAAAAAGTGCCAACTGTGTATCAATGAATGAGTCAAGAGGGCTTTTTAAAAAATACATAAACAATGGCAAAAAAACGGCTGTTATAGAAAAGAGTCATTTAAACATGTCTTCAAAACAAATACATGTTACAACCAAATTTATGTAGAAGTGAAGTACTCCCTTTGAATGGAGACACTTCCTTAGTTGGGCCATCATAGAAATTTAGTATAACAAGAATTGTGCTAATTTTTCAAGATCAGCAAAGCTACCCTGATAATGGATGGCTCAAAAGAAAGGAAAAAATTAGAGTCAAAAGATCAACTAGTTCATAAATTCTACAGTCATTTGCAAGGCTGTTTATAAAACCTGCTCTCATCAGCCCTTTATTCTCCATAAACTGCTTGCTTTCTTCCTGAGGAAAGGTAGATGTTTAAGTAAATGCAATCAACATCACTACAAATGGCATCACTCAGGGAAAAACAATCTTGGACTGAGTCAGAACACCTGGTTTTTAGTATTTCAGACCTTAGCAGGTGCCTCACTACACGGCCTTTCACATGTGGTTTTCGGATTTTTTACCATTTGGTGATCGGCTTGAACTACAAACTGGCAAATATCTGTATCACTATACTTTCTACTAATTTAAGTAATATTTTTATTTTAAGAGCATAATAGTGTTCATTTGCATTCTCTAATTTTGAAAAGCAGAAATAATGCTACTATAAATGTTTTAAATATGATTGACCAATATTACAACTGAGGAAAAAGGCAGGACTTTTATGAACCTATTTGAAGCCATCCATACGTGCAAAGAAGTTTTGTACCACCCCCAAAATGTGAGTACTTAAAGCTTCAAATTATCCAGGGTTAGTTTTTCCCTCCCATACAATAATACATTAGCATAGTGAACTCCAGAGACAGCATTCTATACTTTCTTTTACATAACGTTTTCTAAAAGCTTAATGCACATTTTTATCTTATCACATTATACCTTCAGTGTGCTTCATCCTTCCTCTTTTGGTGCAGTGCACTCCAAATATGTTCCTCCCAAAATCACATGTTAAAATCTAATCTCATTGTGATAATATTAAGAGGTGGAGCCCCTTGGGAAGTGATTAAGTCATGTGGGCAGAGCCCTTATGAATGGGATTAGTAACCTTAGAAAAGAGACCCAAAGGAACATGCTTGCCTCTTCCAGCATGTGAGGATGTAGGAAGATGGCGCTCTCTATGAATCAGAAAGCAAGCTGTCACCAGACACCAAATCTGCTGGCGCCTTCATCTTGCACTTCCCAGCCTCCAGAACTCTGAGCAATATGTTTCTGTTGTTTGTAAGTTACCTAGTAACTTAAGTATTTTCTTAAAGCAGCCCAAAAAGACTAAGAGGTTTGGTAAAAAAATAAAATAACTGTTGTAATTGATCTCATCTATTAAATTTGAGGTAAATTTTTCAAATACACTTTCTCCTAAATGTATATAAGAGAAATGGTGGTTTTAACATAAACATCCCCTGTTCACCCCTACCCACCCTTGGGTTAACTAAACTTCCAACTCATAATTAATGCTTAAAATAATCATTCTTAATGGTCCTTCTGTACCCAAACTCCAGTTGTTTACCTCTCCTCCAACTCACTTTCCAGCTGCTCATGAATACTAAACATAATCATTGATGTAATGTTAGTTAGATCTCTGAAGTGTCAACACTTTTTTTTTTTTTTAGATGGAGTCTTGCTCTTTTGCCAAGCTGGATGGAGTGCAGTGGCGTGATCTTGGCTCACTGCAACCTCTGCCTCCCGCATTCGAGCTATTGCCCTGCCTCAGCCTCCGGAGTAGCTGGGACTACAGATGTGCACCACCATGCCCACCTAGGTTTTTTTTTTTTGTATTTTAGTAGAGACGGGGTTTCACCATGTTGGCCAGGATGGTCTTGATCTCCTGACCTTGTGATCCACTCTCCTAAAATGCCCAGCTATTGTGCAGACAGAAAAATATGACACAGAAATGCTTTTAAAGGACAAGAAAACTGACTTCAATAAAAGCAAGGATTTTAGTGTTGATACTATAATAACATTTTATCCTCTTCTGGGGCAACATACTAGCAATAATACCTCTTTCCTTAAAACTTGAAAATATTCTTACTGTCTGTAAAAATACAACTTAAAAGTGTACAACAAGAGAAAATAACTTTCTTGCCCTGGAGTGCAGTGATACAGATATTTGCCGTTTCTAGTGCAAGCCCATCACCATATGGTAAAAAATCCTAGAATCACCAGATGTGAAAGGCTATGTAGTCAGGCACCTGCTAAGGTATAAAATACCAGAAACCAGGTGTTCTGACTCCGTCCAAGATTGTTTTTCCTTGAGTAGTGTCATTTGCAGTAATATGTAACAAATACTGAGTCCAAAGCCAGTTTCTGAGATTGCATAAACATAGGTCACAAACCCCAGAGTGGTAGGGGAAGGTGGAAGGCAGAGTCAAGGTGTGACCGCCCATTTATCCTGTAAGTATTTTACCAAGTGTCTACTATATGCCAGTCACTATGGTAGGTACCAAGGAGACCGATGAAGCAAGAGATTCAATCCTAAAACTCACAGAGTTTACAGACAATAAGGCACTCACTTAAATAAATGTAAAATGCTAAGTTTTAAGTTACACCAGGAGTCGCAGGTGCTATGACACGAGAGAGAAGTGTAATTTAAGAGGAGGGAACAGAAGATGCAAAGGCTCCATGGCACACAGAAGGCACTCAAGGAAAGAGTGCTATGAGCTAAATTATCTCCAACTTCCAAAATTCACTTGTTTAAGTCCCAACCCCTCTAATGCTTCAGAATGTAACTCTACTTGGGGATAGGCCCTTTTAAGAGGTAATTATGTTAAAGGTGGTCATATGGGTAGACTTTCTGTGACTCTACAGTTGACAATGCAGGGGTTGGGAGTGCTAACCCACCCCTGCACAGTTAAAAATCCACCTGCTACCTTGATATTTGGTATCTAGTATATGCTCAATGAAACACATACACTGGAAGATTTATTTAAAAACAATGTATAATCAGTAGTTGCAAAAAAAATCTTGTCGATCCAGGGAAATCTGTTATGTAATTAATTCCACTGATGAGTCTAAAAAATCACTTGACTTTGTTAATCAGTTCAATCTATGAAATGAGCATTCTATAATAATTTTTGGCCAGATGCAATGCTCATGCCTGTAGTCCCAGCACTTTGGGAGGCCAGAGCAAGAGGATTGCTTGAACATGGTAGTTTGAGACCAGACTGGGCAACATAGCGAGACCCTATCTCTACAAAAAATTAGCTCAGGGTAGTGGCATGTGCCTGTAGTCCCAGCTACTCAGGAGGCTGAGATGGGAGGACTGATTGAGACCAAGAGGTCGAGGTGCAGTGAGGCATGATTCACACCACTGTAATCCAGCCTGGGTGACAGAGTGAAACCCTCTCTCAAAAACATAAAAATAAAAAGTAATGCTTGTGAGCATCAGATGATGTGTGGAAAGAATTTTAACTGTGACAGATGATAAGGACATAAAAAGGAATTGCTATAAGCAAAACACGTGATCACATTTTTTTCCTTGAATATATTTCTAAACCTGTTACTGAAGCTTTGTCAATGAAGCGTTGTTAGGTGAGGAGTTCTATAATGTATCTTGCTCATTGCTAACAGATAAAGTTTATTATTTGTAACAGTTTTTCTTTTATTTATATAATCATGCTTCAGAGTAAATGAAGAACTTCTACGTTAGAAACCAGCCTCCGAGGATTTGTATATCTAACATATAAACAGAATAAAAATACTATGCAGCCATTAAAAAACGATGAGTTTATGTTATCTGTAGGGACATGGATGAATCTGGAAACCATCATTCTCAGCATACTGACACAAGAACAGAAAATCAAGCACCACATGTTCTCACTCATAGGCAGGTGTTGAACAGTGAGAACACATAGACACAGGGAGGGGAGCATCACACACTGGGGTCTGTCAGGGGGCCTAGGGGAGGGACAGCGGGGGTAGGGAGGTTGGGGAGGGATAACATGGGGAGAAATGCCAGATATAGGTGATGGGGGGATGGAGGCAGCAAACCACATTGCCATGTAGGTACCTATGCAACAATCCTGCATGTTCTGCGCATGTACCCCAGAACCTAAAGTGGAATTATATATATATATATATATACATATATATATATATATATATATAGTGAAAAGATCTGACACAACTCTCAGAAAGTTTACTTTATAAAAACAGAAACCTAACAATCCAGTAAGCAACATGTGTAGCAGTGATTAACCTAAACTCTAAGCATGTGCGAAAAAGATTAAATAACAGCTGAAGGGTCTCAATTTGATCAATTCGGTACACGTTAATATGCAATATCCACATACCGCCTTATAAACACAATAACTCCCTATGCTGTTTTTACAGATAAACATATCGATATCAATAAAAATAGCCAGGGATTCACTTTATCCTTTACCGATTCCGCACTCACAAATTACATTCTGCTGAGTATGATTTCATTATTAATATGCACTGGGAATTAAGGAATATTTACAATAATAATGGCTATCATTTACAGAGCATGTATTATGGTTAATCTTTGCAATAACTCTGTAAGGTAGTTACTTTATTTCCTTTTTAAGATGAAGAAATGGAACCTTCAAAAGGTTAATAAACTTGCTCATGGTAACACTGATGCAAAGCCAGGAGATCTTAGAGTCTGCAGGCACCAGAGCTCACATTAGTGAAAACAAACGAGAACCAAAACATTAATGCTGACAGCTTGTGGGATTCTTACCTTGAAACTATCATAACAAATCCTTCCACACCATGAAATTATTAAGACCACAGCAATAGCGACTGGCAACACACGTCTGTTTTTCAATACTTTGTGACACGTGGAATTACCATCTTGCTAGGTCTTCTCATCATCAGCTTCAGGAGAGGACTGTTTAAAAAGTTTAAGCTCACTGCACAGACTTACCTAAGCTTGACCTTGTGTTGGATCTTTCTATTATCGCGTGCTTACTGGGGTTGTTTAATACTGAGCGTTTGGCAAGTGAGATGTCAGCAGTAACCCTTGTGATAGATATCCTGTTGGAGAAAAAAGTCACAGAAGACCCTAACATTATTAATCTAATCAAAGGGGATAGAAGTATATGCACAAAATTCATCTAAGTATGAAATACATATAGCAGCCATATTTTTAAACCATATGTGTTAGGATACTTATTCTTTCTTTTCACTTATTGATTTTTGTTTATCTTGCACCTGCCTTACTTTGCATTTTGTTTGTTTGTTTTGAGACAGAGTCTCGCCCTGTCGCCCATGCTGCAGTGCAGTGGCGTGATATCGGCTCACTGAAATCTCTGCCTCCGATGTTCAAGTAATTCTCAAGTAGCCTCTCAAGTAGCTGGGATTACAGGTGTGTGCCACCACACCCAGCTAATTTTTGTATTTCTAATAGAGAGGGGGTTTCACCATGTTGGCCAGGCTGGACTCAGATTCCTGGCCTCAAGTGATTCGCTTGCCTTGGCCTTCCAAAGTGCTGGGATTACAGGTGTGAGCCACTGCGCTGGCCCTATCTTGTACCTGCCTTACTTTGCATTTACTGGTTGCTTATCAAGTATCAGATAAGTACTAAGCCCTTTATTTGAATTACTAAATCATTCAAACAGCTCTTGGAGAAATGCTTATTATTATCCTACTCTTGCTGATGAAGAGTGAGATGCACAGAGAGATTATTTATCCAAGGCTATGTACTTACTAAGTGGTAGAGCTGGGATTTGAACCCAGACTCCTGAGCCTACATTCCTACCCTCTGCGCCATAGTTCAGTGCTATGATCGGCATGAAGAATAAGTAAGAACTGGTCTTTCCTCAGTGAGCTCATGGTCTAGTGGCAGAGATAAATAATAAAATAATTAAAGATGATGATTGTTGTGAAAAGAACAAATGGGATTATGACGGATGATAAGGGAGAAATGAGAGCAACAGAATTCGGGAGCTGGAAATAGCAAATCACTTAGACTGCAGAAAGCTGAATATTCAAGTCAGCAGTAGGAAAAAGCTGTGAAGCAAAATTGAAGGCTCACCATATATCTAAAGAAGGTATGTGAGGCCTCACTCTAAAGTGAGGCCTGGCACGGTGGCTCAAGCCTGTAATCCCAGCACTTTGGGAGGCCAAGGCGGGTGGATCACGAGGTCAAGAGATCGAGACCATCCTGGTCAACATGGTGAAACCCCGTCTCTACTAAAAAAAAACTTCAAAAAAATTAGCTGGGCATGGTGGCACGTGCCTGTAATCCCAGCTACTCAGGAGGCTGAGGCAGGAGAATTGCCTGAACCCAGGAGGCGGAGGTTGCAGTGAGCCGAGATCGCGCCATTGCACTCCAGCCTGGGTAACAAGAGCAAAACTCCGTCTCAAAAAAAAAAAAAAAAAAAAAAAAG